ATCGTGGGTTTAGTAAAGAGTATCTTATATAATTATTTATTATGAAGTAGGTAGGTACCTAAATATACATTTAGGGCCGTTCTTACAATGTCCGATAAAGTGTCGGTTAACGCTAACCGACTGATAAAAGATTTTATTACCGGCAGAATTCTTCCGGTTAAGTGTCGGTTAACTTTAACCGGACGTCGTAAGAACGGCCCTTAGTATAATATACAATCGCGATCATGACGTGATAACAATAATAACACAATGTAATAATAATTTAAAATAATATAGGATAAAAATAATATTATACATTCATTTCTACAAGATCGGTGATAATTTTTTATTTTATAAATAACATAAATAATATATAATATTATTTAAATATGTAAGAGATTAACTAATGGCCTTTGCTGCCGAGTTATATATAAAGATCAATAGAAAAAAAAATAATTTAAACATAAAAAAAAAAAAACTGTACACATTTATAATATTATAGCATTATAAACTTGTAGATTTTTGGGGGGGCTACGGCTAAGTTTGGGGGGGGCTAAGCCCCCTCAAGCCCCCCCCTCCCAATTTGCGCCTATGGCTCGCTCGAGCTCGAGTCCCAAGTCTTTGTGGTCGTTAAAATACCGTACCGTGAACGCCAGTCCGTTCATCACGTCCGCCGACAGTTTTGATACACGTCATAATGATAATAATAATAACATATCATACAATATGATATTATTTAATGCTTGTAGGGCTGTGCGTTGGATCGTTGACTGAAGGGTCAAGTTTTTTTCAATTTCATGTCATGGGGTTGGCTATTTTTGGACTACCCGAAAGTTTTAATAAGGGTCCATACATGAAAAAAACCTCAATATTCGGCGAAACCTTCAAGTATTTACGGTTATATTTTTTCGTAATTACAACAAAATAAGAAAATCAATTTTTTCAAAAACTTCCCATTTTCCATAACATTTTAAATTTCAAGCGGAGTGATGAAAGTATTGATTTTCCAATAATGTGAATGTGTGTGTGTATGTGTGTGTGTGTGAATGTGCGTATAATATATGTATACGTCAAGTAGTAAAAAAATATATAGATATAGAATATGGATGTTGATTTGGTTAATTTAGAGGCTTATAATGGTTGTGATAGATTGTTGAAGGTTTGTGAATGCTCGTTGCAGTAGGTTGATGTGATGTGTTACCGATAGAAATTGTGTGAGACCGATGATATTGGTTGGTTGGTTCAGGGCTTAATGTTTCCAGAAGGAGGTTGGATATTTGTAGACTTGTAGTTTTCTTCTCTCCATATCATACCCTGCATTCAGTCAGAATATGTTTGACAGTGATAGGGTTGTCTTTCTTCATTATGTATTAGTGTGTGTCTGTGTGAGGCTTGTATGTCTGATTCTGAGACTGTTAATAGCAGGCTCTAAATAGTAAATTCTAATATTTAATCATTATAATCTGAAAGTATCAAATCCTCCAGTTGCAGGCATCACTCCATCAACTACAGACTAACTACTACAGACTTAAAGTGAAAGTATTCATATTATAATATCAATAAATAGTTTTAATAGTTTTTTCTATTTTTCTGGGGAAAATATATTTTTCCAAAAACTATTTCTTGAGCAGATAATGTTTAGTTATTAACCCGTCATTTTTAGAAAAACCTAATTTTTTCAAGTTATTTTTCGTAACCAAATGTGGATTCAAATATATTTTTTGTATGTTAGTACCAATTAAGAACAAATAGTTTTGTTACATAGCCCTGAATTAATATTATTATTTGCATTATTATCAACATCGATATACATTATTCAAGTACGTACTGAATTTGTTACTATTTTCATGGACAAAATTAAAACGTAGTTGTTATGTACTTCATGTAATAACGATATTTTACAATACTGCCATTTTGTTTTATTTAATATTATTTCTATATTAGTGGCATTACAAATGCCCAAGTGCAGAGTGCAGGCTATAATATTACTATACTTCAAACATGTCCTATCCCTATCTACATTTTACTTAATGGAAGTAAGATTCATAGATTAGTAAAATAACTTTACGATGCAATATTAAGTACTGTTCGTAATAATTTATCATTTAGAAATAATTCCTTTTAATTCAACCATTGTAATCTTGTTTATTTTACATTGATTAGTTGATTCAGCTTTGAGTTCATTACACATATAATTCGTACTCCCATATTGAAAAGTTGAATGCACATTTATACAGCTGGCAGTGAGTATCTACTTCTGGTACTTCTGTACTTCTGGTATTTTTGAACAATATTGGTACAATTATTTATCGTTAAAAATAAGAACTTTTGAAATTTTTTGTTACATTTATTATTCATTGTTCACAAAATATACTTTCAATTAGTAAAAAAGAGATTGAAGTATATCAATAAATATCCAATACAAAAACATTTTTTAAAAAAGGTGGGTAAGTGGATGTCGCTCTGCTGTACAGTAGGTTACAAGTGGGTCACTGTATAATAGATGCTATTAAATTTGAATTCAATGATATAATATCATTGTATAAGAAAAACGATTCTGAGCGAAGACGGTATGTCGGTCTAGGTTTAAGATAAATTATATACAAATTTATGGTATTAAAAATAAAATTGACCTATAATAAATTCCATTTTAATCATATCACATTATCACAATATCCATTAGGTACTTATAACACGTTATACATCAACATCAATAACAAACCCTGATACTATCATCGATATATAATAATACACTTAAAAGTTTCAAGTAGGTACCCCGTACCCACGAATAATATTATATAATCACAACAAAATAACTAGGTTTTTTAATATGAAATTTCGTCCAAATTTGAACATAAAATGACTATAAAAATAAACTGTGATTGTATATTTTTTAGATTTTTCGGTAAGATAATTAACTACTTACGTGGAATCTTGTTTTAAATTTTCAATCCTTAGCTATAAAAACTGAACATTTTATAACTTATTAATTACGATGATTAATAAATTTCGAGATTTTGAAAAATTCTGTCAAAATTCGATGTTTAAATGTTTATAAAAAAAAATTGTGCTTATGTATTTTTAATATTTTTCAACTGATATTGTAACAATATATCAGGAGCCTTGTATTAAATTTTTACACTTTTTGGCCCAACAGATAAAACTTTATTGATATTTATAGGAAAAAAAACTAAAAAAAATTGAAAGCTGTAAATGTCCATAAACAGCTCAAAAAGAGTCAAAATATTTTCAAAATTGTATGGTGTATAGAAAATGCTAATTTAAACATTCAGTGAAATTTTCATGTATCTATAGTTTTTCGTTTTTGAATTACAACAAAATAAGGAAATCGCTATATGAGAAATCGAGTGAATATCCAATGTTGTAAAAATTTGAATTTCAAACGCTCATAAAAATTTAATTTGACTGTCCGGTAGAGATTTTTTTATTGATAAAGGTAGATAATCTTATAAGGAATCTTGTGTTTCATTTTCAAATCTTAGATTTAAAAAGAAAAATTTTTACGAATTCTTAACTCAAAATAATTTGCTAATTTTCGTGATTTTTTCATATTTTGTCAATTTTTGAACTTTAAATGCTTATAAAAAAAAATTGTGACTAACCATTTTTAATATTTTTCATCTGCCTTTGAAACAATTTAGTAGGAGCCTTCTATTAAATTTTCAAGTTTTTTTAACCAACAAATAAAATTTTATCGATATTTCTAGAAAATAAACTAAAAAAAAATGAAAAATAAAAATGTCCCTAAACATTTCAAAATAAATCAAAATATTTTGAAAATGTTATCGTGTATAGAAAATGCAAATATAAACAACCACTGAAAATTTCATGTATCTACGGTTATTTGTTTTATAGTTACACCAAAAACCAAAATCGATTTTTTGGAAAACCGATTTTGCGTAAAAATTCCCGTTTTTCCTTAATTTTTATGTTGTTTTTCCCGGCGCTCTTGAAAACTACTGGGAAATTTAAATTTTGACCTCCCCAATGCACCAACGATATTCACTTTCCAATCGAACAAGATACTGAAGTCGAAAATCGAAGCATTATTTCGACTACTTATCGTGTACACAGACACAAAAAAAATAAATATAAAAACATACATCATTGTAAAACCAATACATTCATCGCTCCGCTCAGAATCTAAAAAACATAACCACGAACCAGATTTGTATTGACAACATTCACATAAATACAATATAGTGCTATTGCTTATTTTTTATTTGTTACGTATTTTTACTTTACAAATTTCAGCGGAATGAAATTTGCTATAAAAACTGTTTTACAACCGTTGGGAAACAATAGTGTCCATAAAGGGGAACCATGTTGTAGTGATCAATAAAATATGACACTATCTCATTTTTCATATGATACTGTCACCATAATTCAAAACAATCAACAAAATGTTTTTTAACTATAGGTAGACATTTTCCGTGATAGAATTTATTAAAAATATACAATATGTTTTATTCCTATGCAGTTTTCATACTTTTTATTATAATTTTGTAATAAACTGCATAACGATTCGAGTTGATAAAAACTTCATACAGACTACAACTGTGCTATAAAATATAAAATATAATTTGTATGCTTAAATACAATCGTACATAAAAATATTAAAATTGAACGCTTGGAATGTATATAGTAGGATAAAAGTTTAAAAAGCTTCTATACATTTTTCTTATAAAATTTCCATTTATATTGTTTAGTTGTCAAAAATATTGTTAAGAATATAAAGTAGACAACAAAAAAGTCATTTGAGTATTAAAAAAACATTTTGGTTTTCTTCAAAAAATTACTATTTATAAAAAAATTATAATACAACTGTTGAATTTGCATGTTTAGAAACAGTATTATATATTATTATGCACATATTATGAGTAGCCAAATAAAATGCAATACAGTTATTTACTTTAAAATATTTAACGGAGTACAGTAAACCGGAAAATCCATTAATACCATAACACAGAGAAACGTTGATCGACGAGCGAAAATAACATTTAACACATGAAACACATTGAAGTATAATAATATGTGATGTTCCCGTGCATTACACATTTACACGGGTGTAATGCACCAATCGCAGCACGCGTACAGATAGATCCATTTAGTATAAATAAAGGTTCATTTAATAAAAGCAAGCACTCCATCTTCAACTCTAACAACACACACACATCAACAGAAAACTTAGAGTCTTGGAGCCACCACGAGGCGAGTACCGCAGAAAACAAGATTTCGGCTGAAGACTTATCCTGGAACTCAACCATTCTGGTAGCCATCAGTGACATATAAATCCGTATCGTCGACTGCCGACGTCCGTATCTGGCCGGAATTTCCACTAGTGGCGTATAAATCCATATCGACGACCGGTATTGCCACCAGTGGCATGGAAATGAGAAACGGCTCTTTTCAGAGCCACCACAGAACGTGACCCACCCAACGTGCCTGCTTAAGTGTTCGCTCGAGGACCACTCGTATTCTATCGACGACGCCAATTGCTTGAGAGGGCACGAGGAAATACTGGCAATACTGTGATCTCGTCCCGACATTGTTAATCCAGATCAATAATACATTCCCGATGTTGTAACAATAGGTTAGGCTCTCGGGTACTCTAACCACGTTAATCACCGGCATAGGTTGCATTATTCACGGGTAAGACCCCGCTGTCCATGAATTGTACATGTAATAATCTAAGAAAAATAAGATAAAGAGAAAGTGATACTGAATAATCGTATTATCAATTTGACGCGTCAACACGACAATACTGTGTGACCGTTTCAAATAATATTACCATTCAAACAAAACCTCAATAAAACAGTATGACACTTAAAAACAATAATATTATTCTTATTATACAAGAGTCCAGATATCTATAATATGATTTATTATATTTATGGGTATTTTCTTCATCATTAGAATTGCGTCGATCACGATTAAGACACAATAACAGTCAATAGCCATGTAAACATTTTATTACCTAAGATAAAACAATGTTTAACGAGAGTTAAATACCTACCTACATGTATTGAACACTAACGCCACACCCGTTTATGTAATCCAGTCGGCATTACAATAATATCAAAAGATAATTGTGTCTGTATTCGTAAGTAACTTTATTGAAAAATCACACAAGACCTCCACCATAAAATGCTTGAGGAGACATATGAATCGAAATAAAATATAAAATAATAAACAATAAATATATACGTATTCTATAGGTATAATAATGATCGGTTTAAAATGTCATGCCCGTACATGGTATAATATTATATAATATTATATCCACTGGTACGTTACCTCTAACGTACCAGTGGCGAATCAGAGCACGGGGACAAACTCTGAGGGAGCTATTTTTTTTTTGCACCATAAATTACATTAAAAGTGGTTTTTTTTTTATTCAGACGAAATTAAATTTCAAAAACCATTTTTAGATTCTGAATGTATTGATTTAAAAATTATGTGAACTGTTTTTTTTCTGTGTATTATCACACGCATTATAGTAGACAAATGCTTTCATATTCAACTTTGAGAGCGATTTCTGATTTTTTGGTACTTTAGGAGAGTTTAAAGATAAAATGTTCAATTCTGTTCCATATTATAATCGGGAAAAAACAAATTATTGAAAAGCTGTAATTTTTACACTCGGCTAGAATTTTACAAAATTTAAATTGTTTAGATCTCCAGATTACAAAACTAATAACTGTAGAGATTTGCAGTAGTCACCAAATATTTACATGATCATTTAATATACATTATATAACTTCCGAAATAGTTTGGGTCATTTGTGTTATTAAAGCCATTTTAAATATTGTTGACTGTTATTGGTTTTTTTTTTTATTATAAAATTATTGTTTGACAGTAAAAAAGCTTGACAATTTAATACAAAGTACCTCATGAGTTTTCTTATATAGGTTAAATATCATTTCATGGATTAATCCACATTACGATTATTGTTTTAAAAGTTAATATAACAATGGGAGAAGGACAGTAGAGTAATAATATAGTTAATCGATTAATATAGGTACCTACAGTTTTTGTAAATTTTTATTGAAATAAAGCTAAATTAATTTATTTCAAAACACAATATATTTGGTCGTGATTAAAAAAATATTATTAAAAAAATTATTACAAACTGAAAAACTATAATTAATTTAGTTTGTAACACTGAGTATGTTCACATTTTAACTTGTAAATAACAGTATGTGTTACGTTTTAGTTAAGTTTATAAAAAAGTGGATATTTATTAGTTATGATTTAATCAAATTATATGGTCATATAATAAAAAAATGTATATTTTATGTACCATGGGTACAATAGTAATATTATGTCAACATTATTTATCCAATTTTCATATAAACCTTGGATTATAGACTATTGATAAATCCAATCAGTGTTCCATGTGCTTCCGCTTGTGTGCCACCAAATTGCCACTTACAGAGAATGTCTTGTCACATACACCGCGTGCGTACGGTCTTTCGCCAGTGTGTGTACGTTGATGTTTCGTTAAATCACCACTTGCAGCGAACGACTTGTCACATACACCGCATGCGTACGGTCTTTCGCCAGTGTGTGTACGTTGATGTTTCGTTAACGAGCCTCTTTCAATGAACGACTTGTCATATACATCGCATGCGTACGGTCTTTCGCCAGTGTGTGTTCGTTTGTGTATCGTTAAACTGGTATTTTGGCTGAAGGATTTGTCACATACATCGCATGCGTAGGGTTTGTCACCAGTGTGGGTACGTTGATGTCTCGTTAAATTGGTACTTTGACTGAAGGATTTGTCACATACATCGCATGCGTACGGTTTTTCGCCAGTGTGTGTGCGTTGATGTGTCGTTAACGAGCCTCTTTCAACGAACGACTTGTCACATACATCGCATGCGTACGGTCTTTCGCCAGTGTGTGTTCGTCGATGTTTCGTTAAATTGGTACTTTGGCTGAAGGATTTGTCACATACATCGCATGCGTAGGGTTTGTCACCAGTGTGGGTACGTTGATGTCTCGTTAAATTGGTACTTTGACTGAAGGATTTGTCACATACATCGCAGGCGTACGGTTTTTCGCCAGTGTGTGTGCGTTGATGTGTCGTTAACGAGCCTCTTTCAACGAACGACTTGTCACATACATCGCATGCGTACGGTCTTTCGCCAGTGTGTGTTCGTTTGTGTATCGTTAAACTGGTATTTTGGCTGAAGGATTTGTCACATACATCGCATGCGTACGGTTTGCCACCAGTATGGGTACGTTGATGTCTCGTTAAATCACAACTTACAGCGAACGACTTGTCACATACATCGCATGCGTACGGTTTTTCTCCAGTATGTGTGCGTCGATGTCTCGTTAAATTGGTATTTTGGCTGAAGGATTTGTCACATACATCGCATGTGTAGGGTTTGTCACCAGTGTGTGTACGTTGATGTTTCGTTAAATCACCACTTGCAGCGAACGACTTGTCACATACATCGCATGCGTACGGTTTTTCTCCAGTATGTGTGCGTCGATGTCTCGTTAAATTGGTACTTTGGCTGAATGACTTGTCACAGACATCGCAAGGGTAAGAGTTCTTCTCCATCTGTCCGATTATCTATTAGTCGCTTCTATTAGTAAATATTTTATTTTAAATGTAATAGTTTTTCATACGATTATTTGGTTACTATGCTTTTCTGTTTGTGATCAATTAGAATTTATTAACATCATCATAATATTTTAAAGCCAGTATTTGTTGTATTACAGTTTAAACATAAAGTAGAGATTAATATTATTATGCTTAATATAATACAAGCAGTTAATAATAAAATCATTAATCTATTTGAAATTTTAAAATAAATATTTAATCCAGGAGCAGATGTTTTTAAAACTCTTAGATCTTATTCTATAAGATATCACGATATCCTTAACAGCTGCAGTAAGCACTACCCGCCGGTAATCCTTTATTGTGGGTGTTAGCGCAACCTCTGATGGCCGATAAGTCATCTTCTATTTCTGTTAAAGTATAATATTGAGCTACGTATAAATTAATAGATCTATCAGACTTTTTTTAGAAAAATATCTCCTACAATATCTTCTCGTAGTCTGTAATGTGGTAGTTCTTAATATTAGATAATACATGATATTTGGCTTTTCTTACTCCTATTGTATAATATCAATAAATTATTTCGATCATATGCTAATGTATCCATGTAGGTTTCGTTGGTACTATGATTCATACTCCTTATATCCATGCATTCTACCATCAAAGTTAAGTTACATATTATTCAGTAAAAATATGAAAAAGTGCCCCATTGCCCAAAACGGAGTAAGCTGCTCAGGAAATTCCCGTTTCTCAGTATGCTTATTTGGCCATGTTCACCATATTTCTGTCCTAGGACAGCTGAAGCTGAAGCTTTGGGAGGAACACAGAAATACGTGTCGCCAATCTGTATACCCATTACGCACATTATATAATTAACTTAACGTTTCTACAACAATACATTTTAATCCGTTGTGATTTAATATGAATATATAATGATAATCCGTATACCCATTGTTTAAGATTGAAATTCGCAGTTTTAGTAACACTCTTTTATTTAATTGCATGTGGAGATTAAATATTACTAAACAGCAATAGGCATAATATTAAGTACCTTTTTCTTTTTTAAAGACGGTTGACACGTCATTTAAGATAGAAAAAACATAAATTATATTTTAAGCATCCATTAATAAAATAAATGTATTTATTTAGGTAACCTGTAGTTCTGATAAGATTGCCGCCAGTGATAATGTTTCACGTCTCCAAAATGAAAACTTTTGTAGGGGTACTATAATCAAATCATAAATGTATTTTTCATTAATATATTTTACAAATAAAACATATAATATCATTTTAAAAATCATTTTTAAAATAATAATATTGATTTTTATGATCGTATGTTAAAATAAAAATAATGAATAGTATGTTTACAAACAATTGTGTTTGTTATTTTTTATTTTTTACTTTTTTGAGGGTGTCATTAGATTACCGATTCAACTATTGTAGTGTATCAAATGGTAGTTATAAGAAAAAATTGTTTAGCGCTTGTAAATTAAACCTATACCCATTATTTTAATTAAAAGTATAAATGCATATTTTACTAATCTTTGGAGGACCATAGTTAATAAACTAGCGAACCAAAATTGACGATTCGACTACCAAAATGTTCAGAATAAAAAGCTTTACCAGAACCCATTAAAAATTATAGTGGTTACCATTTGAAAAAAAAAAGTTGATTTTGCTATTGGTACACCTGTGTGTTTAAAAATTTTGAAATTGTTATAAAAAAATTGCTTGTTAAAAATAAAGAAACACGTCTTTTTTCGTTTTAACGAAATTCCATATCATCGTTCCGTAATCGTCAAAAAACCCCGCGTACAATGACATAAGTTACACCCTGTATAATTATACTGGCTATGATATAATTATCGCTTAATAATATTAGACTACAAGTGGCGTACGCGAGGATAGGGTTCTAAGATGAACCCCTTTGAAATTTCTTTCTTCTGCAAAACAAAAAAATGTTATTTTCAACCA